CTTTCAGACCATGTCTGATACACTTTATTTGGTACATAACAGAGTTATCACCCCTCTCCCACACTAACAACAACAATGACAATTCAACTGTATCAAGAAAACATAATCTTCAAACATCAGTCATCACAATCTGGGTATATCCTGAGAGATGGGAATTTTGTTCTAACAATACAATTTTAGTGTGGATATAAATGAGAGTTGACTTTAATGTGGGTAAAATTTTTCCAATATTTTCAATTTTTTTAAGTGACAGGGACTCCTTTGCTAAAGATGAAATGTTTCCTCCCCTGTAAGACATTTAGCACAGCTAAGTAATATGAAGTATTTCGTGCACTCAGCAGGGCATATCCTTCCTGACTTCAGATCTCAGGATCAGCATTACCTGCTGAGGTGATCCAGGCTGCCTTAGTATTAGAATATGAGTTCATTTTCTTGCAAGTTTGTCAGGTGTGCTCACATGCAATTAGAAAATGCAGTGTTCTCTCAATGTGATAATCAGGTTTGCAAAATCTAGAGTCAAACAAAATAAGTATTTTCTGAAAAAGAAAACAAGACTGATTATATGAAGCAATCACACTTAAGTCAACAGCATAATGTTGCCACATGAATTGAAAAATGCCTTCAACTATAGCACAGGCCTTAAACTATACTGCAGAGCAATAGTGACAAAAGCAGCATGGTATTGGCATAAAAACCAACTTGTAGGCCTACATTACAGAATAGAGTACACAGAGACTAACCCACATAATTACAGTTATCTTATATTAGACAAAGGCACCAAAAACATACACTGGAGAAATGATAGCCTCTTCAACAAATGAAGCTAAGAAAACTGTAAATCCATATACAACAAAATGAAATTAAACCCCTATCTCTTACCATGCACAAAACTCCACTCAAAATGGATCAAGGGCCTAGGAATTAAACCAGAGACCCTGTGTCTAGTAGAAGAAAAAGTAGGCCCAAACCTCATCATGTCGGATTAGGCCCCTACTTCCTTAATAAGACTCCTATAATGCAAGAATTAAAATCAAGAATTAGTAAATGGGATGGATTCAAACTAAAAAGCTTTTTCTCAGAAAAAGAAACAATCTGTGAGGTGAATAAAGAGCCCATAGCTTGGGAGCAAATCTTTACCCCTCACACATTAGATAGAGAACTAATCTCTAGGGTAAATTAAGAACTCAAAAAGCTAAACATAAATAAAAAAAAAAAACAAATAACCCAATCAATAAGTAGGCCAAGGAACTGAACAGACACTTTTCAGAAAATAATATGCAATCAATCAACAATTATATGAAAAATGTTCAACATCTCTAGCAATTAGAGAAATGCAAATCAAAACTACTCTAAAATTTCATCTCACTCCAGTCAGAATGGCAGCTATTAAGAACACAAACAACAATAAGTGTTGGCGAGGATATGGGGGAAAAGGCACACTCACATTGCTGGTGGGACTACAAATTGGTGCAACCGGTATGGAAAGCAGTATGGAGATTTCTTGGAAAACTGGGAATGGAACCATCATTTGACCCAGCTATCCCTCTCCTCGATTTATACCCAAAGCACTTAAAAACAGCATACTTCAGGGACACAGCCACATCAATGTTTATAGAAGCATAATTCACAATAGCTACACTGTGGAACCAACCTAGATTCCCTCAGTAGATATATGGATAAAGAAAAAATAGTATATATACACATGTGGTACATATATATAAATAAGAGTTGGTTTTCTTGTAGAGATAAATAAAAATAGCAAGATTTAAATATTATATGCAAAATGGAATATTACTCAGCAATAAAAGAGAATGAAATTGTGGCATTTTCAGGTAAATGGATGGAGTTGGAGAATATAAGGCTAAGTGAAGTTAGCCAATCCCCCAAAAAACAAGTACCAAATATTTTCTCTGATATAAAGATGCTGATTTATAATGGGGTTTGGAGGGTAAACATGGGAGAATTAGATGACCTCTAGCTAGGACAAAAGGGTGGGAGGGGAAGACAGGGGGCATAAGGGTAAAAATATGGTAGAATGAGAGGGATATCATTACGACAAGTACATGTACAAAGACACAAATGGTGTGAATATACCCTGTATATAACCAGAGATATGAAAAATTGTGCTCTGCATGTGCGATATAAATTGTAATGCATTCTGCTGTCTTTTATAACAAATTAGAATTTAAAAAAATTTTTTAAGTCCCCAAAGACTTTGAATCAGAGAAGGTATGTACCAGATATATTATGATTAAATTATCAAAAGTTAAATACAGAATTATTTTAAAAACAGCAAGAGAAAAAAAACTCATACAAGGGAAGCTACATGACAGTGTAAAGAGATTTCTCAGCAGAAATCTTGAAGACAAGGAAAGAGTGAGATAATACAGTTAGGATATTTTTAAGGAAAAGTAAATTACTAACAAAGAACACTATAAACATGCTGTCCTACACAAATGAAAAGACAAAGACTTTCCCAAACAAATAAAACCTGAGGAAGTTAATAGCCACTGGTTCTATCTTACAAAAAAAATAATAAGATTTCTTCAAACTAAAATTAAACAATATTAACTAATTCCAGCAATGTATAGGAGGTCATTTGGACAGAAAATCAAAGAAGCAACCTACTTTAAAAATACTGCATGCCAAATGGGTTAATGGACAAATACAGAATATTGAATGCACCAGTACTACAGTAAAAAAATAATTCCCAAGAACACATTGAAGATTCTATGGGACCAGGCAAATGTTAGGCAAAAAAATAAGTCTGAGCACATTCAAGAAGCCTAATATCATATCAAGTATCTTTTCTGTTCAGAGTGGTATAAAACAAAAACCAATAACAAGAACAGATTGAAAAATCCAAAATAAGTGGAAATTAAACAACATTCTCTAGAAAAATCAATGAAGAAGAATTTTTTCAAATTCTATACTATATATATATATATATATATATATATATATATATATATAATTAAGAAGTTCTAAAGAACTTCCAAAGAACATTTAGAGCTAGAAAGACCTGTATTAAGAAAATAGTTATCAAAATCACAACTTAAAGAACTGGAGAAAAAAATAAACTAAGCCCAAAGGTAATAGAAGGAAGAAAAAAATTTAGAATAGAAATATATGATAAATAAACAAAAATAAATGAGAGACTAGAAAAAACAATTGAAAAGAAAAAGAAAAAGAAGGGGCTGGGGTTGTGGCTCAGCAGTGGAGCACTCGCCTAGCACGGGCAGGGCCCTGGGTTTAATCCTCAGCACCACATGAAAATAAGTAATATAAAGGTATTTATCCAACTACAACTAAAATATAAATATTTTTAAAAGAGTTGGTTTTCTTGTAGAGATAAACAAAAATAGCAAGATTTGACTAAGTATCACAAAGAAATAAAGAAGAGAGAACTTAATTAAAGTTGTAAATGAGGTTAGTAATTTGCCACAATGTGGATGAATCTTAATTTTTCTTCACTTAATCTAAGTGAAAAAGTCAGGTAAAGAATGGTAAATACTATATAATATTTATATTATAAATATAGTGGGGAGGCAAAGAAGAGAACTTCAGTAGATTAGACAAAGGGGAATGAAGTGAAGGGAAGGAGGATGGGAATAGGAAAGACAGCAGAATGAATTTAACATAATTTTCTTATTTACACATATGAAAATACCTGAATCCCACTGTCATACACACCCACAAGAAAGGGATCCTAATTAGAATAAGGTATATTCTTTGCTTGTGTAATTTAACAAAATGGATTCTAGTCATGTATAACTAAAAAGAACCAATTTTAAAAAGTGGTAGCCAGGCATGGTCATGCCCCTCTGTCATCCCAGCAGCTCAGGAGGCTGAGACAGGAGGATCATGAGTTCAAAGACAGCCTCAGCAACTGTGAGACACTAAGCAACTCAGTGAGTCCCTGTCTCAAAATAAAATACAAATAGGGCTGGGGATGTGGCTCAGTGGTCCAGTGCCCCTGATTTTAATCCCTGGTGAGAGAGAGAGAGAGAGAGAGAGAGAGAGAGAGAGAGAGAGAGAGAGAGAGAGAGAGAGAAAGGAAAAAGGGTGATAAATATTGTATGAACCCACTAACGTGTGGAATCTAAGAAAGTGAATATCATAGAAAGAAAGCAGAACAGTAGTTGCAAAGAGTAGGACTAGGGGTAGGAAAATGAGAATAAAGGGTACTCTTGCCTCTCCCAGCCACACTGTGCCAGGAGTTCTGAGTGTTTCTGTTACCTTCCTTTTTAATAAAATTCCTGCTCTCTTGCTTAAAAAAAAGATAAATTCTGAACATCTATAGACAACATTGTGACTACAGTTAAAAATATCATATTGCATAACTGAAATTTACTGTTCTAAAATTTTTATTGGTTAATTGTAAGTGTATATAATAGTGAGATTCATTGTGACATATTCACAAACAGGCATCAATTGGTCTCCTTAAGAAAGAACATTTAAGAAAAGTATTCTTGCTAAACACAAAAATGTGAACTATATTAAGTAATGGAAATGTAAACTAACAATTGTAGTAGTCATTTCACAGTATATGGGTATATCAAATCATCACTTTGTAATTTAAATATATAATTTTTCATTTTTAAGTTATGCATCAAAAAAAGCTAAAGGGGGATGGAAACAACAGATAAATGGACAAACCACATCATATATTTTTTATTAGTAAATAAACCATTAGTAATCAGACAGAAATTAGGGAACAAACTCAAGTGCCTTCTATGTGTGTACAAAAGAAGTCTCCAGTGTACTCTCTGATACATGGAGAATGCTCATTTTATGAATCAGCAAATGAATTAATAAACAAACATATGTGGAAAGTTTTCTCAAAAGTGGAATAGTGGACCACTTACCTAAGTGATTTTGGAAATGAAGTTCATATAAAGAAAAACTTATGAGTTAGCTCTAGAATAATGGATGCAAATCCAAACACAAGTCCATGAAAAGTGTTTGATTCATAAGTAGATCTTCATCATTTCACAAACTTATAGTTCAACACTTTCACAAAGAATATAATTCCAGCCCCATTGTCTACGATAATTTACCACAACACAATGCTCTTCACTATTACTTGGCTCACCTAGATACCAGAATCTGAAACAAAGAAAAAGAATGAGTTTATTCTTTCAAGACTGCTTTTAAAGGGCTTAGAGACAGGGCTGGGGTTGTGGCTCAGTGGTAGAGCACTTGCCTAGTATGTGTGAGACACTGGGTTTGATCCTCAGCACCATATTAAATAAATAAATAAATTTTAAAAGAGTTAAAAGTGCAGGGGTTGGGGGGTGTGAAAACAGGGGCCAGAAGCTGAGGTGGAACTGTGTGGAAGTCAAAGTCAGATATGCACAGATCAACCCTTTCTTGATTCTCATCCAGTTTCTCCTCCACCAACACATCTAGTATTTCCCTTGAAAAATTGCACCCATATCACTCATATTTTCTCATACCCTATTGCACTAAATATTTTACCAAAAGTGATCCAGAGGCTCCTCTCTAAACATAGATCCTGTTACCAGGCGACTGTATTTCCATGGAGTTTTCTTATATGATGAAGAGAAGTCCCATCTTCCCATTTATCGATATAGTTCTTTTTTTCCCACTTTAAATGGGATGATTTTGGAATCTGAACAACTAGTTGAATCTCTAGATCTTCTACTTATTCCTGTTTTCTTGGTCAGGTAATTTAATTTCTTAGATTCTCAGTTTGCCTATCTAAAATTAGAGCCAGAATAACAGCACCATATATTTCACAAAGAAGATGTAAGATCAAAGGTGGAAGTATACTAATGTACTTAAATGCTTTTAAAGATTATTACATGAATATGACATATTGTAATAGTATACAACTTTGGGATTATTGTTTTATGAGAACTATTAAATCATAATAATTGCAATAATCTTTTAAAACATGATTTTTTAGAATTTTTATTTATTTTTAAATACATGACAATAGTTAAATGCATTACACTCATTATTACCCATATACAGCACAATTTTTTGTAAGTGTATATAAAGTATGTTCATGCCAAATTATGCCATTATAAATATACTCTTTTTTGCATTATAATTCTTAATACACATATATACCACAATTTTTCATATATCTGTATATAAAGTATGTTGATTTTTAAAATATAGAGAATAAATAGAGTTTTTAAAAGCGAAGTAGAATCCACCCTGACCCTCTGGATCTGATAGCCCCACAAAATAAGCAGTCCCTTTATCCATATTCTGAGTGATGAAATCCTAAAGGAAAAGGAAAATTTAAAAAGTCATAGGCTTTAGATATGCAGCTTGAACTGAGTTTTGGTTTTTTGTTTGTCAAATCATGCTGTTTACTGGTATTAACAAAACAGAATGAAGTCCACTATCATTTGTAAATATAATTCGCCAATATAAATAGTTTTAAAATAATTTTGGTGATTTATTTATTCTTTATTATTTTAATTGTGAAATCTATCAGATAACATGATAATTTGACACATATACACAGTACATAATGATCAAATTGGCATAGTTAACATTTTCATCTTCTTTATATTTTTGAAGATTTTACTAACCACTAATAATTATACATATTTAAAGGTACAGTGTGATTTTTCAACTGAATTGGTTTTTTTAAAATTTTTTTTAGTTGTAGTTGGACACAATACCTTTGTTTTTATTTATTTATTTTTATGTGGTGCTGAGGATCGAACCCAGAGCCTTGCACATGCTAGGCGAGTGCTCTACTGCTAAGCCACATCCGCAGCCCTTCAACTAAACTCTTTATGGTCATACAGAAATGAAAACAAAAGGAGATGGTTCAGGAATAACCAGATAGGTACCTCAGAACTGCAGGTCTTTGAGCACAAAAGGGTCAAAGAAATCAACTGTGAGCCTTAATTTTATTAAATATGGAAGCAATTCCTATCTATAATCATAATGAATTCTCATCTCAAATTCAATTTCCCTCTTTTTTTCACTGGGAGAACATACTTCAAAGTTGTGCATCAGAAAATTCTTACAAATTTAATCACTTTACTTTCATTATATCACGAATTTTTTTTTTTGGTATCTGAAATGGAACCCAGGAGTTCATAACCACTGAACTATATCCCTAGCCTTTCTTATATTTCAATAGGTAAAGGGTATTGCTAAATTGCTTAGCTCCTTGCTACATTGCGAAGGATTGCTTTGAACTTGAGATCCTCCTGTCTCAGCCTCCCAAGCCCCTGGGATTACAAGCATGCACCACAACAACCAGCACTTCATAGTTCTTAAAATTTTATTCCTGATTGCTGATTGTGAGTTGTTGATTTAACTTTGCCTATTCAAATTAATTCTCTTTTTGGTTAAGCAGTTGATCATTCATAAAACAGTTATATATTGGAATAGCAAACTGCTATTATACACAGAAACATTTTCATCCTTTCACTAAACCCCTAGGTCTTACATGTTGAATGCCACAATTTCCATGGGGGTAGCTTAGTTACACTGAAGAAGGTACAAGGTGTGGAATGTGAAGGCTGAGGGAGCCTCTCCTATCTGTCTTATGAAAAGTCTTCTGCCACAGCATCAATACTCCTTCTTAGCAAAAACATATACAAAAATCAGACAGGCTCATGACTCCATTGTCCCTTAGAAAGTACCTGCTCTTCCTTGCTGTTGATCACCACCAGGTGAGCCTCCATTCTAGAGCAGTTCTCCTGACTCTCCTTCCAAGATTTTTTATCAGTAGAAAAAAAGTAGCAACTGGAACTAAATGACTTCCAATTCTCTGGGCAACAGCTCCAGACTTCTCCTTTATAGGCAAGAAGGGCAAATAGGTGCATTATATGAAAGTGTATTTTTAAAGTGTGTATATTATTAAATTTACAGACCAAGGAAAACAGCATGAAAGCTGCAGCTCCCGTATTCACCCAGATATGTTATATATTAGGAGTCTCCTTGCTATGAGACCCCTCTCCTCAGGTGCCAAGGAGCCAAGTTGCCTCAACCAGGCAATAATGTGTGAATCCCCTTTCACCTGCTGGACTGGTATCAGGAAATAGAACAGCTAAAATATAATATTTAAATAAAACCTAGACTCCATAACCTCAAAATAAAAATAACCAAGTTTTAATACAAAATAATTAATCATACCAAGGACCAGTAAGTTCTCATCTTAGTAAAAAAAATGATAACCAATAGTCACCAAAATATTTCAGATAACAAAAATGTTCAATTTATCTAGCAAAGATTTTAAAGCAACCATGATAAAAATGCTTCAACAAAAATATTCACACAATCTTGAAACAAAGGAAAAGCCCAGAGTAACTCAGAAAATCTCCATGTCAAAATAAAAAATAAAAGGGCTGGAATGTGGCTCAGGGGTTTGGTAGCCCACTGTTCAATCTCCAGTACCCAAAGTATACCACCATCCCAAAAAAGAAACAAAGGAATGCTGACTCATAATGGCAATGGGGTGGGGGGAGCTAATGAGCACGTGAGTAATGGAGGAACTTTAGATAGGGCAAAAGGGATGGTGGGGAGGGGAGGGAGAAAGGGATTAGGAATAATGGTGGAATGAGTTAGACATCATTACCCTAAGTACATGTATGAAGACACGAATTGTGTGAACATACTTTGTGTGCAATCAGTGACTTGAAAAATTGTGCTCTACATGTGTAATATGAAATTAATTGCATTCTGCCATCATGTATAACAAATTAGGATGAATAAATAATTTAATAAAAAAGAAACAATAAAGTAGACTCAACAAAAAAACATGTAAAAAATGGAAATTTTATCACTGAAAAATATAATAATATTTTAAAAGCTTAGCAGACTTCCTTTGGCCTCCATCTGCCACTCCTTCCTGAGTCTTCAACATGAAAGTTACCCAGATCAAATTTTGGACTTATCAAGCCCCCACATTTCCATGAGTCAAGTTCTTAAAATAAATATTCATATTCATATGGCTTCTGTTCCTCTGGAGAGCACTAACATAATACACCACCTGCTGCAGTCCGGCTGCAGCAAAATAACCGGGGGGTGACAAACAACTTGTGTCAAAATGGCCATTTTTCCTCTCACCCTATCTGCCTAGGGACGAGCAGATTGCTCCCGTCCTATCTATGGACGGGCAGCTTTTTTTCGTCACTTACCCCTGCGTGTCCCGGGGCTCCCCGTACGGGCCACCATCTGCCGCAGTCCGGCTGCAGCAAAATAACCGGGGGGTGACGAACAACTTGTGTCAAAATGGCCATTTTTCCAGCAGTCTGGCTGGGCACAATCAGGAGCCACTTGTCAAAAGAAACTAACTTTATTTTTAGAACCACACACGCCAAACAAAACAGCCTCTCAGGAAAAACCCTCAGAGCCCCAACTGCCACCACCGGCTTCCCACAGGCCTCTCTCTCCAACACAAGCCTCTCTCCACCTCCCACAATCCTCCTGCTCTTGAGGCCGATTGGCTGGGTCATGTGGGCGGAGCCAAAAAAGTCCCCCAATGAGCAGCTCCGTGGTCTGAAAGGGCAGGGAAACAGCCCAATGAGCATCACCGCAGAGGAGCCAATCAGCTAGATGTTGCTGGGGCCGCTGTGAGCCAATCATCAGCCGGCAGCTGGAAGTTTGCTGGGGCCCCTTCGGCTGTGGCTCTCAACATCTCCCCCTCTCTGTTTAAACAACAAGCATGTGGCTTAGGGACCGTGCCTGCCTTAGGTTGTCCAATAGTACATATGGTCCTTACCCGTTAGGTTGGTACCATTGCAATTGGATCTTACCCGTCACTGACTACCGGTCCAGTATACAGCCACACCTGTGGAGAGGTCTTTGTACCAGCGGGGGGTGAGGTTCTTTGCCTCACCTCTGTTGGCCCCCAAATTTTAGCTGGATGATCATGACAAGCAGAAGGGAGGAAGATACACCAAGCCAATTGACGGCTCCTTTTGGAAAAATTGTACCACCGATGACATCATCAGCAAAAATACCCCAACACTACCACAAGTCGCTGCACCAACAGATAGTTCACAATGCATACAGGTGAGTTCACAATGTGTCCAGGCAAGTTCTGCAAGCAGTTCAGTGAGATAAAACCACTGGTTTTATCTTTGACTTCACCAGCACTGGGATGAAGATAGGAATTCTGGCAATAATGGCTAAAGAAAAAATTATGTAACATTACAGAAGGCACTAAAAGAAAATAATTTTCTTAACAATTTACATTGTCTTTAAGAGAATTATTAAATATAATGAAAAGGAAAGGTGAAAGTAAACAAACAGATCTGTTAACCTCCTTTTTTGTTTACATATTAAAACAATTCTCAACAGTTGTTTACCCAATTTAAATTAAACCATATAAATAACGTGAAAAAAAATATTTGGATCCATTTTATCATGAACGCTCATCATATATGATATATGGACATACATACATTCAAACATATAACACAAAACCCAAGTGTGCACACATAATATAATGCATACAACACATAACATTATAGTAAAGGCCTTATAACATTTTACAGGTGAAATCTCCATTGCAATGTTTAAAAACTATAGTCAAAAAATAGACCTGATCAGCAAAATATTAACCTAGGTCTGTATGAGCTCAAAAAACAAAATAGAACTTCATGATATGGCAAAGGGCAATAATAAAATAGATATTGAAAAAAGCATCCTGGTTCTGTTGCAGATGTAAGAATAGCCAAACTGGAGTTTTGGATATCAGTTGTTATGGATTTGAGCCAAATCATCTTCTTTTTGGTCCATAGAAATCGCTTTAGTTAATCTTTCTGGAATCCAAATTGGCTGCTGTTCTCCCTGTGGAAACACATAAACAGACCCCCGACTCCAGACAATCACTGGGTCAGGACCTTGGTTAATCTGTCTGGAATCCAAATCGGCTGCTGTTCTCCCTGTGGAAACACACAAACAGACCCCCGACTCCAGACAATTACTGGGTCAGGACCTTTCCATTGTCCTGTTAGAATATCCTTCCAAAGTACCTTGGGCTTATGCACATTTTTTGGACACATATGCCTTTCCACAGAACTAAGTCCTAATGAATCCAAATTTAAAAAGTTTAGAGTAAAAAGGATTATTTTAAGTTTATCTTTGGGGAATATATACCCCTTCCCAATTCCTTCATTTTGCTTTAATAAGTACATTTTAATAGTTTGATGAGCTCTTTCAACTATGCCTTGTCCCTGTGGATTGTATGGGGTTCCTGTTATATGAGTAATGCCAAATGTTGAGCAAAATTGTTTAAAAGAGGTAGAAGTATAACCAGGGGCATTATCTGTTTTTAACTGTTTTGGAACCACCCACAGTGGCAAATTTTAGTAAGCAATGAGTTATAACATCTTTAGTTTTTTCTCTGGCATGAAGGGAGCCCATCAAAAATCCAGAAGAAGTATGAACTGTAACATGCAAATATTTTAATTTTCCAAATTCTGGCAAGTGTGTGACGTCCATCTGCCAAATATGGTTAGGTATCAATCCTCTGGATTGACTCCAAGATTAACTTGTGGTAAAAAGTCACACAATTTTGACATTGTTTTATTATTTGTCTAGCTTGTTCCTTAGTTATTTTAAAACGCTTTTGTAAAGTATTAGCATTGACATGGAACTTTTTATGAAAATTTATAGCTTCTTCTAGTGTAGAGAAAATATGTATGTCATGTGTAGTTTTATCTGCTAAATCATTGCCCAAACTAAGGGCTCCAGGAAATCCTGTATGTGCCCTGATATGTCCTATAAAGAATGGATCTTTTCAGTCCCAGATTAGACTTTGTATAGTGGAAAACAAAGAGAAAACAGTAGAGGAAGGGGAAATCCTACCAGCATCTTCAAGGGATACTATAGCGTTAACTATATACTGACTATCAGAAAATAAACTAAATACAGAATCTTTAAACATCACAAAAGCTTGTAATACTGCATTAAGCTCTACATTTTGAGCTGATTGTTTGGGTACTAAAAATGTAAAAGTTTGATCAGGTGTAACTATTGCTGCTGTACCATTATTTTATCCATCAGTGAATATATTTGGAGCATTCATGATAGGTGTTTTTCTTGTCATTTTTGGAAAAATTACAGGATGCGATGACCAAAAAGACAATAAAGGATTAGATGGTAAGTGGTTATCAAATGAAACATTAGATTTGCACATGATTATTGCCCAAGTATTTAACTCATTAGCTAACTCATCTATTTGATTCATAGTATATGGAGTAATAATTTTATTGGGAGAAATTCCAAACACTCCCTTTGCTGCTTTTATTCCTTTGAGTATTAATTGTCCTACAGCCTCAGGATACCTAGTAAGAATAGTGTTAGGAAAATAAGATAAATGTATCCATAATAATGGACCTTCTTGCCAAAATATTCCTGTAGTAATATTTTTGTTGGTAGTACAATAAATAATAAAGGCAAACTTATATCAATTCTATCCAAATGCATATTTTCCATATATGTTTCAATAATTTTTAATGCCTTTCTTGCTTCAGGCGTTAACATTCGGGGTGAATTTGGATCTGATGGACCTTTTAGGATATCAAATAAAGGTCCCAACTCTCCTGTTGGTATACCTAAATAAGGCCTTATCCAATTTATGTCTCCTAATAACTTTTGAAAGTCATTAAGTGATTTGAGTTGATCTACTCGTATTTGAATTTTTGGTGGACGGACCATGGTTGAGGATAATAGAACTCCTAAATAATTAATTGGAAAATTTAATTGTACTTTATCTATTGCTATCTCTAGATTATAATTTTTAATAAGTTTGTAAGTGTAGCATAACATTCTAGCAATGTGTTT